GCCTCGTCGAAAGTAGCATACACATGAGCTAGTAGCAGCTTAGCCAAACATATCCTAGGCTGGCCTATGTGCAGGACATATGCAAGGTCAAACAAATGAGAGGAGATTTGGATGGATCGGGGGCAAAATACATGGGTGCATAGCCAATACACCAAAAATGCTACATGCTCTTCATCAGTAACAGCTATCGAAGGGTCATCAACAAAATATTTCTCAATGAAATGTCCGTAAGCCTTCGATTCCCAATCGATTTTGGACCTCAAAGAACTACTCGAAGGACATGCACCTTTAAAATACTTCTCCCCTATGGGCTTCAACCCAGTAATAGCCGCAATCTCGAAAAGGGTAGGCGACAGAGGGCCACAAGGCAACTCCAAAGCATGTAGGTTCTTGTTCCATAAATGCACCGCAGACAAAAACATCGCCATGTCCAAAAATGATAGATCGCATTGAGACAGATGCAAAAAGTCAGAAATTCCTATATCCCTCCAATGGTTCCCAAACTTGGCTTTTACCCTATCAAACCACCTAATGAATTGAGACTTTTTGGAAGGAGGGCCCGTTCTATACACTTTAGAAGTAAGATTCAGAAAATCAACCCTAACTTCAGGTTGATGAACCAAAGCCGGACTAGTTGAGAGGTTAAGAGGAGTAAAAATTTCATCGATAGGACGGAGAGGACCCCCAAAAGCAAAATTTACCCCCTCAGCAGTATAAGGAATAAGTACCTGCGTCTCAGCAATCTTGCGGGAAGCCTCCTCCATCAGAGGAACTGGAGCGAACCTCTGGTTGTTGATCTCCAGCAGGTTAGAGGGTAGTGAAGAAAGGGGTGGAGCGGAAAAGTCAGAAGATTTTGATGAGCTGGTCATTGTAGTGAGCTTATAAAAAATAGCAAGGGAGGAGTTAACAGATGAGGTAACAGGGATGAAGACAGGAGCTCAAGGAAGAAGACGAGATTGCAAAGAAGGTGATAGTTCGCGTAAAGACCAGAGTAAAGACCAAGGAAAGGTTAAAGAGAAATCGTCTAGGGAGTTGGAAGCGACGGAAGGGAAAGGTAATTAATGTAACTTGTACTGAAAGGCAACAGACTGACGAGACGGCGACGTAAAGTGGAAAAGAAACTTAAAACCCCTTTTAACCCTAGAACCCCAGAAACCCTAAACCCTAAATCCTGTGGGCTTTCAAACACTAAGGCGGGAATATTGAAAGAATATAAAACAGAAATCATTTATATTCTTCCAAGGGGGCATTTTGTTAGTAGAAAATCGAGAAAAACGATCGAAATCGAAGGAAAGAAATGTGACTCGATAAGATAAACAAAAATTCATTCGATGTCTAATTAGAAATACGTAGCATATAGCATCGAGAAACACAATCGAGAATCGAATGAATAATAATCAAATGACTGTTGTCGAATAAAAACTAAGTCATATAAGACCAGGGTTAAAAAGGGATCGTAAGCAATTCGAAGTTCTCGAAAAATACAGAATCGAGAGTAAAGGAAGCCAATGTGGACATCGAGACTTTGGCCAAATCGTGAAAGGAAGTAAGTCGAATGCATGTATAAAGAGCAGTTTTGAAATCATGGGAAAAAGTCGGAGATCGTGAGAACGTGGGAAACTATAGAAGATAAACTGCCATACGCACGTAGAACGTGGTAGCAGTCGTGTTAACTGCTCTTGGAAGACTTGAAGGATGCCCTATAAATAGAGCAATGGAGGAAGGAACAAGGGGGGCGAAATTGACGGAGAACGAGAATCGGTAGTGAAAAGTCTACCGGAGAAACGACGAACACCATGAAGCTTCCGGCAATCTGGATTTCCTTGCTCATCGAGTACATTTACCACTTTCGTATTTTCCTTGGTAATTTATTTTGATGCAACTTAAATTCAGCAGTTTTATGTTTCTGTATTTTCGATTCCTTGTCCATTTTAATTCAATGAAAATTTAAGTTTATGCATTTAAGTTTCCATGTTATTTAATATTCTGCAAATCTTGATTTATTGCCATTTACATTTCCCGCACATTTCGATTTCCTGCCATTTATATTTGCACTATTTTCGATTCCTCGTCATTTACAATTAATGCAATTTTGGGGTTTTTGCACTTTATATTTTCTTGCAATTTAATGTTCGTTTCTCGATTCGATACTTTACTTGTTTTCGAGTACTTTAAATACAAAATACCAAAACCAGATTTCTTGATATCTTGTGATTTTCGATCCTCATACACGTTTTCGATTGAAAGTCGATCTGCTAGCTTAAGTAAAAAGAACTTACGTGGGAGGATTTCGATTAGGACCATAATACTGTTTAGAATCGAAATCGATCGAAATTCCACTAGAAACAATAATAGACTTAAATTTTATGAAGTTTTTTCTTCCATTAAAGATACTTTAAGTTTATATTTAATTTTTTTTGTAATAGAATATTGTGAGATTTAGTTTAAATTCTTATTATTTTGTAGGATGTGAATGTAATCATAATTAAAGGCATCAGAAAAATGTCTATATATTGTAAAAAAATTTACATAATATTATTTTTTTATTATTATTAGATATTGGTGTGATTTTTTTTTCTGATTTTTGAAATTTAAGTTAAGTTTGATGAGTGGCTACGCAAATGATTACAAATTGTAAGACATGAGTGTGACATTAATTGATAAAAATGTGACAAAACATTAGTTTAAGGTAATTTATATAAATTATAAAATTTTTAGTTAAAAAGAGAGATTTCAAGGTGAATAATATTTTCTAGATTTTTTTCATTAATTATATAATTTTATTCGCTGTTATGTTAAATAATAAAAGTAACGTAGTAATTTCTTAACAAATTTGTTATTTTAATTTCAGAAAAATAGATTTCCACCACTCGCGTGATGTTTTCGTGGAAAGTTATTAACCTGATCGATAAAAAAATCATCCAACTAGGAATATTTTTGTAACTTCAGATTTTTTATATGTTAAGATTTGTTTGACACGTCATTTCAACTAGTTTTATTTATTTGTTTACTAGTTGTTTGTTTATAAAGTAGCTTGTAGCGTTTTAAAGGATATTATTATAAGTATTAAATTATGTTTTTTTTTTTAATTCACGATTTTATCATTTTATTTTCTTCATCCACTCATAACTCGAACGCACAACTATATTATTTTTTTGACGGTGAAGATTTATTATTTTTAATATTTTTCTAAATACAATACTGATAATGATGACAAATTTTTTTTCATTACTATTTAGATACTTGTATATTGTATAGTTTATTTTAACTATTATATTATTTACAATATTTTTTTATAACTTCAGGATTATGCTTTAATATGTTAATATTGTTAGAATAGTAAATTTGTTCTATTTTTATTATTTTTAAATATTTTTCGTATCATATTATGTATTTTAACTTTATTTTACTTTATTTAAAATAACTTATATCTATTTAAAAATATATTAATTATATTGTAGTCTAATTCTGAATATATATATATATATATATATATATATATATATATATTGTACGAAATAATATAAGATTAATAGTAAATGAAAAATATGAAAATTATATAAAAAATGGAAGTAAAATAAATATAATTAAAATATATTTCTGTAACTAAAATATTACTATACATTTGAACAAATGTTTAAAATAAAATTAAAATATACTCAAAAATATAAATTACCAATAAAAAATTGTATAAATCAATCTAATTTAGTTATTTACATTTATAAACAACTTTAAATTATTAGTTTAAAAAAAATCAATTAACATTCCAATCAAATTGTACCTAACATAACCTGGGAAACCAATTGGTTTTGGGTTAAAATATAGAAATAATTTCTTTGCATTATTCATGAACCCTTTTCCATGCTTTCTGATATTGAAAACCCTTTTTGGCGTTTATATATGCTTCTTTATAATATTTATTTATGGAGATAATTGCACTTATTATACAAAATACGGAAGTATAATTTCTTTTCCTTTTGATAATGTTTTCCTCATATATTTGTTTTTTATATTTTAAAAGGTATATAACTGACTGTGTTTGCCATCAAATAATTTTATTAGCATTCTCCCTGCATCAATTTGATTTTAGAATTAAACTTTGTAAAATAAAACCTAATTTAAAAATAATACAAATAATTTTTTTCATCATCGTTATTATTCTTATATTTTATTCTGTTTTTTCTTGTTCGGTATTTGGTTATTGTTGGGAGGTTTCATAATGCTTCGTGTCTCAAAACACATTGTTGTGTATACATAAGTGACACACATTAAAAAGTTAGTAGAAATTTACTTTTAAGACCATGACATTTGTTATGGTATAACATTATTCACTTAATTTTTAAAGTATGAAAGTAAATTATTCTTTAACAAAATTGTTGGGTGATTGATGCAACAAATATTTTGATGAGTAACAAAATTTATTTTTATTTAATTTGATTTAATGTTGTTTGTAAATTTATGTCTTTTATAGATGATTTCCATGCCTACTTTCAAAAGTGCAAATACAGTTACTTCCAAAATGGTTTTATTAAATAGAATAACATGCTTTTATCGACTTTCAATTTTATTAGGTTTTATTAAATGGTTTTAAAACATTCCCAGAATTGGAAAAACAAATTTTAAAACAAAGAAACAAGTAAAACCCAAAGAAAACAAATTCTGGTTTCGGGTCACCAGAAAAAGACAGCAAACAAAAGAAGGTTGGCAAGTGAAGTATGACTAGGATGCATTTAGGTACGAACTCTATTCTATCTCCAAATGTTCTGTTCCACGAGAAAAGAAAAAGAATAAAAATTTCTTACTTTCTTTCATCACTACCAGTGACAGAATAATGAATTATCAGAGCAGCCAAATCACGAGCCTAAAAAATGATCAATGGAAAGGATATTTTCCATGTCTCATAGACTTAGAAAAACTAATAATAAAATATAGCAGTAATTAAAAGATGGGACCCAAGAAAAGAATAAAAATGGCCTGGTAACAGCCATAAACTCACTGCCCTATTGTCCTTTTCTTTCTCCAACCGCCGACGCCTCTCCTCTCGCCTTCCCTTCGGCCATCATTCTCCTCTCATCCTCTACGGACGCCCACACCCTACTCCAAACACAACCCTCCACGTCGCACTCCAACCCTGCCATGTGTACCACTCTCACACGTGGCTCATAAGCTTTGGTGGAAAGCATGGAGTTTGGTAGAAGTGGCAGCACCCGATCTTAACCAACCGAAAAAAGAGAAACTGGAAAAACAAAACGTGGAGGATAAAATTGAGAGAAGGGTCGCTTAAACGTCTCTCTCTCTTCGATGGCTTCTTTCTTTCTCTCTCTTCTTCCCTTGCTCTGTGTTGTGATGGTGTGACACAAGAGGGAAGAGAGAGAAAGAACCTGCGGCCATTTCGACCCACCCAACAGCTTTTGTTCTTCGACAAGATATAGTTTCGTGTGTGGGCTTCTTCGTTCCAGCTTGGAGGAATTAAGCTGTTGGAGGGATTCAGCTTTCTGTATTTTTCCCTTTTCGGTCTGATCTTCGTTTGGGTCGTTTTATTATCTGGTGTTGCTAAGGATGTTGGTAGCTAATAGCTTTGATCTATGGCGAAAGGACGTTTTTTTCTCTGCGGCGGAAGAGGTGCAGGAATCGGCTGATATGTACGTTCCCGATTCGTCTCTTAGGGTGATTTAATCACGATATTAGATGAATTTAATGTTAAAGCATACATCTTGTGGGTTGAGGAGATGTTGGGTATGTGTGGGGTTTTTTTGGTTCTGGTGGGTTGTTTTCCAATCTCCGTGTGGTGTCTTTCGTTGTTCCTAGTTCCTATTTGTTCTTTGCTCAGATAGACTTTTAATGATATCACTAAGGGTTCGTTTTGAGAGCTTTGAGTCGCTTACTCTTCCTAAAAAAATATGAAACTTGAAAACAAAACATGATAGATTTTTCTTTTCTTGCTTGCAAATAGAGTTTTTGATAGTTGAAGGGAATAATGGAAAGAAGGGGAGGTATAGGAAGTAAGAGAATTTAAAATATATTTTCCCTTGTATCAAATTTTAGAACTATTCCTAAGTTGGCATTTATTTGATCTTAGAGTGTATGTAGATGATACGCATGACAACTTACAGTAGATTCCCATGTTATATCTGGGTTCGAAATACATGAAGCAGCTATTTGGATGATCTATGTACTGCCATGTCCTTTTATTCAGTCATTAGGAGGGAGTTTGGTTATGTCTTCAATTCGACTATACTCTATAAGTAAATTGGACTATGTCATTTCTGTCTGACATAAATTTCATGTTTCTCTTTATCCAGAATGGAATCTGCGTACAGGGCCTGGTTGAGAGAAAAGAGAGAAAGGTCAACAACGGAGGAATTAAATGAACTCTGCAGGGAGCTACAAACTGCATTAGGTACTGCAAAATGGCAGGTAAGTCAATATACTTATACTTTTCTTAATGGTGAATCCTTTGTTCCCTCTTTTGACTATATATATTATTTGAAACAAAAATCTGTAGTTTTATTATCGGAGATTCTCTGATAAGTCAATTCTCCCTTTGTTTCTTGTTATATCTTGTGACTGGATATTCCTTATTGTGTTTTGAACATGCTGAAACAGTTAGAGGAGTTTGAGAAAGCTGTCAGGCTAAGCTACCGACATCATGGTGATGACAATACAAGCACTAGGCACAGGCAGTTTATTTCTGCCATTGAAAGCCAAATTACGCAAGTTGAAGAAGCACTAAGAGAATCTTTTATTGAGCAAGGCAAGCAACCCCTTCGGTGGGTAAATCTTGATGAAGAAGAGCGAGATGATCTGGCTGCGTTTCTAACGGGAACTTGTCAGACCACAAAAAGCACTAATGATGAATGCATGGAGAGTACTTCTTTGAAGATAAGCCCACTTCAGCAGAAACAAGTCAAAAAAGAAGATAAAAATGTAGATTTAGACACTTTCCGCAACCGGGATTTATCTGCTAGTGAAAAGTCTTCTAAGGATGTCATTTCTGTTAACAAGGATACAGATTATGTGATAGAAATAAAAGCAGATGCTGTTTCCAGAAGTAATGATGAGGTAGTTTCTCAAACAGAGGGAACAAGTACAAGGAAGACGTGGAGTCCACCTAATTATGGTGCTCTAAAAGTTGTGATTGCTGACGAAGATGAGCCAAGAGATAAACCTCCACGGACTGTTGATGCCACCCCTAAAGAAAAAGGATTCAAACATCTATTTTTGAAACAAAAGTTTGAAGAATATCCTCAGGCCATGCGAGTAGTTCGTATGTTCAATCAGGTTAGATGACTAATACATAAGATTGAAACATTTTCTTATAGTTTTCTTTGCTTACAGTCAGTGTTTTTTGTACTGCGCAGCGTTTTGGGCGCACTGGTATATGCCAGAGCCAAAGACAGTTTCAAAGGCCCTTGCACTTGCGATATGGCTGTTCTATTCAAGTTACACTTGTTCTAATGTTGACCATTTTTCTCTTCGGTAAGCTTTTCAATTTCCTGCTCAAAAAGGATTCTTTCTGGGAATTCCGTCTATTTTGTCTCCAAGTTCTGCTTATTTCAGCTATACTTTCATGTTCTTGTGAATAAAGCTATTTAATGCATGGACATTTTCTTTAACCGGGTTGAGACTTGTGAGTGAAATTAGAAGATCTTGAAACTTGTTAGTTCCTATAATCTTTGATGATGATTATTAAAAAACACTCATATTGTTAATTAGTGAACAATTATTGCTTGAGATTATGATTATTATTTTTCTGTATGTGTGCTTATTTTACTGGGGAAGAAATACAGAGAATGTGGACTGAAGGTAGTCGGATAGAAACCATGCCATTATCTAGGGAAAGATCAATCTTGTTATTACTGTTGATATCATGATGATACTTGTCATACCTAGACTTACCCACTGTCAATAATTCGATGCTAATTCGTATCCTTCTTCCTTAGAAATCTGTCAAAGCACCCTCTGGTGCGTGTATCTTTTTAGCACAATTTCCTAATTTGCAAATGTGAAAAAATTACAACGAATTATACGTGGACACATTTGTTGTTTTGGTTTAACAAGATACAGTATTCGTCAACTGGTAGTTAGGGATAGTTGGGGTTTCACTTTGGCTGCTTTTATTTTACTAATTTATTTGATTTGATGTAGGATAGGGAAAACAAATTCTTAATCTGCAACTTGTTCATATCTTCAATATCTGGATGATTTTTGTTTCAAAAAGCTGTACTTTTATACTTGTCTTAGCTGTTTCAGCTTTTCTGCCAAACATTATACTTTCTCAGTTAACGTATTAGGCAATTGCTAATTAAAGGATGTTTTTTGCCTTTCGCTGTAGTTCCCTTTGTACTCTATTCATCTTGAGTTAAACGGCTGCTTCGGTCAATATCTTTAAGAGGTATTTCCACAACCTTAGAACTTACGTTTTTATATTCTGTTATGATTAAAATAATAAAACCTGGATATGTTGCAAGTATGCTTGGGGTGTAAGTTAACAAGAAGATGTTTCCTTTCTCCTTAAAAAATGGTTGGAACCAAGAAAACTTGCATTTCCTTTTTCCTCAGGTAGTTTGTGTTGATCATTGTGGTTTTCTTGTAAGATGTTCACAAGTAGATTTAACCACACGCAACTAATGCAGATGCAAACAGCTTTGATGATTTCAAACATAGCATCATTTTTTAAATCAAGTAAAAATTAACATGAGAAATGAGTTTGATCTGCTCATGGTATCAATTAATGTTTGGCTTTTGTAGGGCTTTACTTGTCGTTGTGGTAGACAAGGTGAGTGGTCATTAGAGAGATCTCAGCCAGTGGTGGGACAGGTTAGCTGAAGGGACAGTGAAGACAATGAGTGTGATCTTCTCTTTTGTCGTTGTTGAGATTAAGATGAATTTACCTTTGTGTGGATACCGATAGGATAACAACCAACCTCTGCGTCCAACAGGGACAGCTGTCTATTTTAGTTTCTCAGGCCTGTTAAAATGTATATACATTCATCCAATATTTAATGCAACTTCCGCTTTATTTGGTTGCAACACTATTTCTATATCAATACAATGCAACTTTAGATCCAAAGTTAAATATGATAAGGTTGGAGGTTATATCTATCATCGTCATCAAACACGTTTATTACTGTTTTCATTTTTATACAAATATCTTTGTTTCTAATTTCAGAAGGAACCAAGGGGTAGCGACAAAATAACTGTCGACGTTTGTACCCATTAATGCGTTTGTTTGGCTGTAATTAAATTAGTTTATTATTGTTGTCAAAATAGGCAAGGGTATTGGTTTCACCCCACTGCTGCCACTAATGCTTGTTGAACGCAAAATAATTGTTTAGCTCTATTCATAAAGAGTTTTAGGTGTGAGAAAAAACTATAAATAAGAGTTCTGGATATGTTACGATGATGAAACGTGTTGGTTCATAGATTTATAAAATATCATTCTTCCAGGATGGAACACAAGCACCTACAATGCAGGGTTCTCCTATACTTCCCACCTGTTATCTGTGCTAAAAGAAATACTACTAGAATTCTATGAAAGTCAAAGGAAAGCTGGAGAAAAAAAGGAGCAAAATTGCCTGGGATAAGTTACATTAGTCTTAAAAGATGGAAATGATAAGTTTTGTTTGTGAAAGATGAAAAAAGAAATTGGATTGATCAAAGATTAATGTTAAATAATACATAAAATCTTCCAAGAAAAACTTTCTATTGGAAAAAAAAAGTATAGGGTTGACATTCCACACTTTGAAATGAAAAGCTATCAAGTCAAAATTATCTTCTTTATCCCAAATTCTCAACGCAATTGAAGAGCATGCCTAGGCGCACTGTTGGATAATGGATTCTCTCTTTTGCAGACCTTCGACTCTGAGTCATGGCATTTTAAATCAGTGAAGGGAAAGATCCAACACTATCATGATCAGAAGACTCAGATAAAACCTTAATTCACCGAAGCTGAAGCTAAGTAACTAACCTTGTATGGGCCCAGCCTCTGGATGGATCGGCCCAACATTCTTGGTAAACCAAATGGAGAGAGAAGAAATGGTTCAAAAAAAGGAAAAAAAAGAAAAAAAAAAAAGAGGAACAACGAAGAAAAGGAATAGAGAAAGAAGAGAGGATTGGAGCCAGATTCCTGTAGCGAGTCCAATCAGTCCTCCACCACACTCAGATGTGCGAGTTTGGCTTTCTGTTCGTTCGTGCTCCGTGTGTTGCAACAAATTGAACGTTCAATCCCCAATTCCCATTTTCGAATTCTCAGAATATCAAATTCCCTAACTGAAGACGACCTCAATCTTCGATGTCCTGTCTAGCGCTTTCCTTACAACCCGCAAATGGATCCGACATCCTTCTCCAGACGCGCGAGTGGTTCCCTCCCTCACGCGCCCTCGGCGCCCTCTCCGCGTTTCGCCAGACTCGCCGCGCCCTCGCCGCCAACAAGCACTCCACTCCTGACGATGCCTACGCTGCGGAATCCATCGGCGACGACCCCCTCGCGGCGTCGAGCGGGCAGGTCATCGTCGGCGTGGAGAGCCGCTACCGCGTGGTGTACCGTCTCGTGAACAGCATCTACGTCCTCGGCATCACCGTCGCTGACCACGACAACTCCGTCAACGTGTTCGAGTGCATCAACATCGTTAACCAGGCCGTCAGCGTCGTCGTCACGGCGTGCCGCGGCGTCGATGTCACGCCAGAGAAGCTCAGCCGCAAGTACGCCGAGATCTACATGGCCCTTGACATCGTCCTCCGCGGCGTCAGCCACATCCGCCTCGCTGCCATGCTCACCACCATGCACGGCGAGAGCATTGCCAGAATGGTCCACTCCGCCATCGACACCGAGAACAAGATCCGCGGCGCCGATACTTGGCTCACGGTGGAGGTCCAATCGCTCGAGCACCAGGCCTGCATCGACGCCTTCTCCACCGCCTCGTTCCAGTTGCCGCCGGAGACGCTCGAGGCCGGCGAAGAGGTAGCCGCCAGCCTTGCCCCCGCCCAGCCTGAGGCGCAGGAGGAGCCGCAGCAGAAGCAAGAAGAGTCTCAGGTGGAGGACCCTTTTGCAGCAAGTGATGCAATTAACAAGCCGCAGGAGCTTGTTGAAGGATTCAAAAAAACAAAGGACCCTTCTGCTACTGATTTAACCTCAGCGTTGGAGGGGCTTGATGTTACCACATTGCCTCCTCCGGAGGCTACTCAATCCACGCATATAAACGTGGAGGGTTTTGAAGGGAACTACGGTGGCGTTGAGTTTGGGCATGAGCAAGCTTCTATTGGAGAAGCTTTTGAAGGTTTCAATGATGCTTGGGGTGGTGGACTGGATCCTTCCGAGTTCGTGGGCACAACCAGGCCTCCCAAACCGCAAGGGCTTGGTGGGGTTGAATTGTTGCAAACTGGGCCTGATGCTGCTCCTAAAGCAGCTACTGAAAGTGGTGCAGGAACTCCACTTGAGAACTTGTTGGTGAAGAAAACTGAGATGAGGGGTCCTGAGATGTATATCTCGGAGGTGATTAGCGCAGAGTTCAGGGAATCGTTGCTTGCAAGAGTGGGATTAATGGGTATTGTTTACCTCAGAACTTTGCCACCCAAAACTGCTGGTGATAAGGAAACCGAATTCTCATTCCGCATTGAGCGAACCGGTGCTGTTAAGAGATTTGTTATTCAGAGTTCGCGCGTTAGTAGCCTTGATAATGGACTGTTTCATGTGAGGACTGCGGCCTCTGAGGAGCCAATACCGATTATGAAGTATAGCTTGGTTCCTAGGTTGACGCCATTGCCTTTGAGGGTTCGACTTACAAAACGGCATACTGGCAGTTTGCTTTCTGTGATGATACAATATGCTTCAAACCCTGATTTGTTAGTTCCCTTGCATGATGTTACGTTCTCTCTAAAACTGCCCGTTGATCCGACACTATTGAAGGTTTCCCCAAAAGCCGTGTTAAATAGGTCTGAAAGAGAAATTAAATGGCTTGTACCAGAGATTCCGTTGAAGGGCACTCCTGGCAGATTGAGAGTTCGGATGCCGGTAGATTCTAATGAAGATGACGAAGAAATGGAGGTTGTCGGTTATGTGAAATTTTCTGAACAAGTAACTCAGTCATTGTCTGGAGTTTCTATACGGCCTGCATCGGAGGGTAAGACAGACTTCTACGAGGTTAGTGACAGACTTGAGAGTGGGGTATACATGTGCGATTGACTTTGTAATCATAGATGATCAGCAGGAGTTATACTTTTTCATTTTGTGTTCATGAGATTTATGGATTAGTTGTGTTTATAGCATTCTTGGATATGGATTATGTACCTTGAACTCTGAAATTATCTGAAAATATTTGTTTCTCTGTATTGTGGCTATGAATTTACATCAATGGACTGTATTTCCTCTTTGCAATAATTACTAGATAGTACTTACTAGTTGTTACTTGCTAGTATTACCCCGAGCCCGTTTTAAAATTTCATTGATTAATGCACAAATTAATAAAGATTGGATACAAAATGTTTCTAAAACTTTTTATTCTATTTTTATCACTCTAGATGAACAATAAGCAATAGGTTTCTACAACTTGCTAATGCCTTCTGGAAAATTAACAATAACTAGGATTCAAGTTTATCAACAGTGGATGGCAGCCTATTGCGGTGAATAGGGATGTAAACGAGCCCAGTTAAGCTCTTGAAACTAGGACTTAGCTTGTAAAAAAGGTCATGAATCAAGCTTGACCCATTTATTGAATCCAGCTTAAGTAAAGGCTTGAGCTTGGCTTATTAAAAAAATATTAAGCTTGAATTTGACTTGTTTTGCTCATTATAACTTAATTAATTTTTCTTTTAAGAAATTCTCTTAAATTATATTTCAACTTTATCAATATAGCATTAAAAAATGTATAATTTTTTTTCTCAAATAATTCATATTTTAAAAAATAGGCTAATGTTTGCACAAATGTAGCTCAACATTAGCTAATACACCTGAACTTTGAAACAAACGGATTAATATTTCAATAAAACATATACTACAGTACCCTCCATCCCAAACTTCTCTCTCTATACACACACACACATATATATATATATATATATTATATTCATGAGCTCTTAAAGTCAATCTTTTAAAGCTTGGGGCTCAGCTCATTTAAATAATCAAGTCTAGTATACAGGTTGGGAATATTTATTTAACTTAACAAACAAGCTTAAATAGTAATTAAGAAGCCAAGCCCAAATAGTTCACAAATAACTTGTTTCATTTATACTCCTAGTAGCGAACCAAAAAACTACCGTATATACATGGTGATTGACATTTTCCTAAAAATGAAACAAAATTGGGAACATCATAGGTTTAATAAAGCTTAAGAAATTGAATGTGCCTAATTCAATCTTACAATGTCAGTTTGAAATGTGAGATTTGTTCTTCAGTTAAATACTATAATTTGGTCATAAGTCTAATGGAGGTGAAATTGCTAACACAAGATAATGGGTGATTTTCAACAACACATCCTCTCACTTCAAAGATGGATGATTTAAAAACGGTCTGATAGCAGGTAGTAAAGGTTCCACAAAATATCGTTGGAATAGCGTCTATGTTAAGAAAGTAGATATGAATCTAACTCAACTCTAAAAAGATGAAATTTACACTTTATTTATATATTATAATTTGACTATATCTTTGGTGGAGAGATTTGTAACAATAAAAAAAATTATAGAACATGAAATTCTAAAAGCCAGAACTAAATCCTGAAATTTTGAGAAAATAGAGCACATAAACGTTAAACAGAAGAAAAACAAGCATAGCCACACTAAAGTTGCTGACCAGGGTGGTCAATGGGGAAGGTTCGCCTGAGTTGCTTGCCACAGCTTAGGAGGTTCCCAATAGAAAAGACAGGTGAAAACCCTAGTTTTCACACTTAAACAAGAAAGACTACACACACTAAATGAAATGTTGTCCGATATGTTTAAAGGATGAAGAACCCCTTTAAGGGGGCTTTTTAAAACTGGAAAGAAGAAAAACAGGGGATATTCTGCCATGGGTGTTGCAGTGCTGTGGCATGGCAGGTGCCATGATAGATATGGCAGACGGTGTCATACAATGGAAAATAACAAGTGGTGACTGGCGAAGTGGTCCAAAAACACCACGTTATGGTGTTATGGACATTACTAGAAATTATATATACTTGAAAAGCTAGTGTGTGGAGTACTGTTGCTACTTGCTAGTATTACCCCGTGCTGCATGTTACTAGTTCTCTTAAATGGGCATTTCTAAGGCATATATAGGAGGTATAAATTATTTCTCTAATATTAAGATTGGTTAAGAAAGGTTTCAAAAATTACTTATTATATGGATCACTTTAGAGATGAAACACTAGGCAAGGGTTTTACTCTGGATTTGGCGATAAACTATGGCTGTACCTAGCAAGGTATATTAAATTTGAAAATAGACACTTTAATGGTCTTGTTGGTAGGAAGGGCGAGAGAAGAAATAGAGAGAATGAATTTAATTAGGATTGTTTGGTAAGAAAGAAAATTAAACATCTATTTTCAATCCTCTCTCCATTTTTTTTTTCTGGTTTTCTTCAATTAAACATCTTTAACTTCTATTTATCCTTTATATTTTTATCCACCATCTTTCTTTCTTCTTCTACCAAACAAGGTCTCTGTTTGCTAGAATGGGAGGAAAACAAGGGAAAAGAAAAAAATATTTGAAACCTGAATTCAAGAGAAAGAAAGAAAAGAAAAGTTGAATTTTGTTGTCTGTATAACTCAACTTTTCTCTTCTTTCCTTTCACTTTCTCTCCAACTAAACAAAATAAAATAAATACTTTTGTTATGTGTTTTCAACTTTTCTTTCATTTATTTAAATTTCTCCCATCAAAACATACCATAAAGTAAAATTGTCAATGTGAAGTGAGCAAAGGTGTTTTCTCCTTTGAATATTATAGGTTAAGATTATAGAGCAAAGCTAGGATGACAACCATCATGGTGATCCATAGTTTAAAATCATTAGATTAATCTTGTATTATAGGTTCTTTTACACTAGATTTCTTATCCCCTTCTGGCATCCTCTCATTGTTTGTTTGTCATTAGAGACAATTTGTGATGACAACAACTACTTTTACATCCAACTTGAAAATCTCCGTCCCATGCTAGATTCAGAGTCTCAAGAAAAATTCTCCACCATTGCAATGTGCTTTGAACAAAAGTAGTCTCTTGTAAAAACAACACCAAGAAAACCCCATTCTTCTTTATGCATGGAATCCTAGCTGTTGTGCCCTTCCTTCAACTGTGAGAAAGCCTCCAAAGGCCTTTGGCTTCCTGATCTTGCAATGAAGAGCTCTCGCAGCAGCGCATGTTGCTTGCTTCCTGTGCCATTGAATCCATGATGACTTTGACAATGTGCTTCTTGCTGGGCACTTTGCACGTGTGACCATGCGGACAATAGGTTGTGAACCACCACATCTTTCAGTATGTAAAGAACACTTGGGAGTTGAAACAACATTGGAATTGCGGTCCATGAGGTAGTTCAAAAACCGTGTTACCTTCCTTTGTCGACAAACATGTAGGCTAGACAGATAAGATGGGTCATTCCAAGATGGAGATTTTGGGGTTAGATGTGATAGATAATAGTTTTGTTTGAAGATAAAGCAGAGGCGATGGGTTGAGTTTGAAGAACATGAGACAAAGTCGACTAAGAGGAGGGAGGACAGGATGGAGATGATGTGGAAAAGAAAGAAAATGCGTCTTCAGCAATGACAACGGATGGTTGGAGGGATTATGAAGAGAGTATTGGGATTAGGTGAGGAACCTATAGTAAAAGGATTATTATGATGATTTAAAGTTATGATACGCCATGGACAACCTATGAAGGTGGCAAATGTGTCTTACATGCACTCTTTAGAGACAAGCTTATTTTAACAGACTCTTGCCCAATAAATTTGTTAGATGCTACAGTTTTTATTGTGTTGACTGAATAAATAATGTGAAATTGTGGCAACTTGAAAACTAGTAAGTCAATTTAGACTCTAGAGGTCCTCAAGTCACGAGGATTGAAAGCTAGTAGTAAACAGTTTTTTCCCTTTACGTGCTGTAGACAAATTAATTTTGTCCTTTCTAATCTCTCTTTGTCCTGTAGTACCTATCTCATACAACGGTATTCATTTATATGGTGGAAATATAAAGATTTGTCAATAGCATGTTATAAAGGTGTAGTGGCCCTGCCTCCATGTGCACTGCCATAGTGTTACACTTCCCTGTATCAGCCAAAATAGCAGCATTTTGGAGTGCTGTATCATTGTTGCGCTATAGCATTGTTGTGCTGATGTGTTGTTGAAGATCCCGATAATGGCCTTCTATGTTAACAACTTAGAGGGGCATTTTGCGAAGATTTTTTTTTTATTTTTTATTTTGGGTAAAAAAAAGGTTTCAGGTTGTAGAAAACTCTTTCAAAGTTTATTATTATACCTCACTTGTCTGCTCTTCTATCTTGTGACTGTTGCACAAACCCAGTGCAACTCTCTACCAGCAGCTGTGCCCCTCTGGTGACTCTGTCTCAGGCAACCGATGTAGCAGCTTGCCTGTTGTTTTTCACTTCCATGTTTCATTCTTTCTTGTTTTTTTTCAGTTATATCGTGTAAACTTGTCTCCTATTCTCATCAATCTTTGTTGTGTTTTTTGTCTCTCTTCTCTATTTATTTTCTGTTTTCTTTTGTTCTCTTTGTTCAATCAATTTGTTCTCTGTTTATTGTTCTCTTTGTTCCATCAGTCTGTTATCTGTTTATTGTTTTCTTTGTTCCATCAGTCTGTTCGCTCTTTATTGTTCTCTATGTTCCATCAGTTTATTGTTGTCTTTTAAAAAAAGATAAAAAAGGTTAGATCCGTTAGCCCGTTTAAAATAATTATGACGGGATAAGTTGATGGTTTTAGTTTACTAATTCATTTTAGCTTGTTTCATCTAATCCGTCGACTTGACAAATTAAGGGTAAGGGTGAGACAAGATGGATCTCCATAAAAAAAATTGTGTCAAAATAAAAAAAATTATAATTAAAAATATTATATTTTGTGTTAAATTATTAAAATATAAAAATATATTATAATTTAAATTATATAATTAATCGATTAAATTTAAATTATTAATTATAATTAATTATTTTAATATATAAATATAATAAATTTTTAATTTATCTAATAAAAATATTAATTAATAAATAAAAACTTAAAAAATTTTATGAAATTAAAAATATATTTAAAAAAAATGTATAAAAAATAATTGGATGACTGATTGGTTAGTCCGTTTTTTTATAAGGTAGTATAAGGTAGGATGAACTGAGATTTGTAACTTATTTTGAGTATAGGAGCCTGTCTTGTTTTGTCTTAGTACTAGAGGTGGATGAGTCAAAAAGCCAAGAGATGACCTGTTCTCTTTATTCAATCAGTCTGTCCACTGTTTATTTTTTCTCTTTGTTCCATAAGTCTGCTATCTGTTTATTGTTCTTTGTTACATTCGTCTGTTCTTTGACCATCTATCTCCCAAAGACCCACATTCGTTTACTCTTTCCTCTATCTCTTCGGTTAGTCATGGTATCCTTTGTTACTAATTACTTGCATGTTTGCGTAGGAGCTAAGACCAATAACTGTTCATTGATAATTATGAACATGCCAAGATTTGAGTATTTTTGTTTTAAATTTTTGAGCATTTATATGCATTTACTATATGTAGTACGAAATATATAAACTGTATACAAAATTTCAAAATAGCTATCAGCCTCCCTTTGTGTTTGAAAATGTCAACCTAAGTTGGAACAAGGTCTTTTGCCCACTCTGATCAATTAATGCATTAATCATAATACCAACCTGAGTTGGTATTAATATCAAATTTTCATCTCTTCCTCGAATGAAGTTTCTCTACCATGCCCCACGTTGTTGGACAATTGATCTTTGCACTTTGGAAAATATTGTGTTTTCAAAATGGTGTTTAAATCAACCTACTTTCCGTGGGTCCATTATGTGGAAGAAATGGGGTCACAACGATCCTCTCTCAACAGCAGAAATTTTTACCTACAAAAATGTCATCAGTTGTATTATGAAGTATCTCAACTAAAGCTTTTCAATAAGCTTCCACGGTGATGGAGTGAAGGTATTTTGAAGGGTAATCTTAAATACATGATAGTTAAGAAGAAAATAGTGTGATTTCGTTTCATTATGTAATAGCCAAGGTCAGGGAACAATTTTATATGGGTTTCATTAGATGGGAAGTAAGATCTGCTGAAAATTATTATTTTTATTAAATTTTAATAAAAAAAAGTCTTACTACGATAGGATTCCTTCGTATCATAATAAAATGGACATGGGGAAATGTGATCAAGCTTATACATGAAGCTGAAGACACATTGAAAACAAGTGGCAATTTATTCATTCTTGCTATCTTTCTCTAAACCTGTTCAGTAATATACACAATTTATTATTATTTTATGATCTCTTAGGAAAGAACCTTCCTTCTTCATGATAATAATTCAATTCGTGCTCGTAGGATCATTTCGTTCCCATTCGTTCCCATCCTGAAATTGACGGGAAAAAATTGATAAAATTAATCAAGGACAAATACAGGTTTAGATGGACGAGAACGAGTAATCTAATCCTTATATTTACTCGTTCCGATTTTATATTTAAATTTTAAAATATTAATATTTTAAAAAATATTTCATTTTTTATAAAATAATTTTTTTATATTTTACCATTTTTACTTTTTTCTACCTGTTTTTTAATTCTTTTGCTTTTTTAATCTTTTATATCAATTAGTTTATTACATTATTCTCTTTTTCTTACATCTTTATTTTTCACATTTTCTTAATTTCTCCAATCAATTTTTTTCAATCTTTTCAACAAATTTGATAAATACAAAGTTAATTTTTTTCTTTATCTTTTTCTAAATATTTTACATAAATCTTAGTAGTAATTAATATTATTTTATTTATGATTTATATTTATTAAGTTTTATTATGTCATATTTTTTGGATCTTATTATTCTTATTTGTCATATATCAAATTTATTTTAATAAAATAATTGTATTTTAAAGAATTAAAAAATTAATAATTTAAACTTTTATTACTTCAAACTAATTAAATAAGAATTAGCTTATTAAATATTTTCTTATAAACTATATATTTCATAATTTTAGATGACAATTTAAAAATGAATTAATTTTTATATATAATTAAATATTTGAATAATAATAATAATAATGTTATAAATATTTATATTTATATAAAAAATGATTAAATATTTTTTTGCATACATATTTTAATATAAATATAATAAATTATAATATATATTTAATTAATAATAATTACGAATTATAAAATTATAAATATTTATTTATATATAAAAAATATATAAAAATAGTAAAATTAATTTATTATAAATATAATTATTAGTACAAATCGGAAACAGATATGAAAAAGGTTAAAAAAATAAAAAACAGGAGTGAAAGAGATAAAATTCGCTTCGCCCAGTTGACATACCTATCCCTATTCTTCTTTTACCAATCAAAAGAAAAGTAGTACACTCTACTCTACCAAAGAAATCCATATTCAATACATGTTTGTGATTATAAAAATTTTATAATAAAAATTCAACCACAAAATGTATAAGTAGTTTTTGGTCAATCATACTATATTTTAAGAGTAAACCTCCACTGATTCTAATCTCTATATCTTAAGCATCAATTACTTCAGTTTTCATGATTTTGAAAATAGTGGCTTACTTTAATTATTTTTTGTATAAACAACAGTTAAAAAAAACTAAAATAAATTACTCTTCACTTCATAAACTAGTTTTCCTTTTCTGTGCAAGCAAATATCAGAGTGACTAAGGCTCAGAATATCAACAGCTAGAATAGAAAATTACTCTTCTACATTTTATATTACAAATTCAATCCGAATAATTTATAAAAGAAGGTACCAATTGTTCAAAATTCTGTTTATAACTTCATTTACACTGAGCTAGCTGAACATTGATACTGTACTTTCATTTTTAACACTCGGATTTTGAAAAAACTTATGTTTATATTAACTTTTTACTCTTCATCTTAATATTTAATTGGTTTATATATATATATATATATATATATATATATATATATATATATATATATATATATATATATATGTGTGTGTGTGTGTGTGTGTGTGTAAAAATAAAAAAAAGGATAAAATTGAAAATATTATAATTATTATATTAAAAAAAAACTACATTCCTTAATGTTAAAAAAAAATAATTAAGCAACACTTATCTTAGATTGATTATCTTTCAGAGATCCAATTCAAACACTGTTGTGTAGCTTAAAAACAAAAACGAATAATGTTGATTCTGCCACCTCAGTATCCAATTAGATAGAAAATAGCAAACTTTGTGTGTTTCTTTTCCTGCTCTGACATGAAGAGAGCAATCGATATCCTTTGATTTGGAGACAGACACTATAATATCGGTCGTCTTAATTATACTGAGAATTATTACCTC